GCATTCCAGCTCAGATGGTTGTGAGGTTATCGTGCCTAGTGAGAGGTCTCGAGTTCGAAACCGCTATGCACATAGGGGGTTGAAACTCAATGGAGTGAGTTTAAGCCCCTATTACTCCAGGCTCCCCCAGCCACCTTCTCCCAGACCCCCTGGAGTAGAAAAAAAAAGTGAGTATTTTTGACAATGTTCTAAAAGGCGCTAGGCGCTAGTCGGGCGTTAGACCAGCGCCTAGCGCCTAGGCGGCTAGGCGGGGACTAGTCGGAGACATAGAAATGACATTTTTATCTATATTTTTGCATAAATATGCTAAGTAATATTGTATTTTTGTGTGTATAAAATACATATATACATATACATTAACAAACATGAATGATAGAATTATCACATTTAATCATAAATAGTATATGATAACTAATCATTTAATTTCCTTATGTTATAAATATAAATAATGATAAATTTAGGTATATATACAAACATATACCATTTTATCTTAATTTACAACTCCATTTCTTTATATCCATTGCTAAAGCTAAAGTACGTATATGGCTTAGAAAATTAAAATTAAAAAGTAAAGTAATGTTCAGTGAATCTAGACGGCCTAGGCGGTTGATTAGGCGCTCTAGGCGGGCAACTAGACGCCATAAGTAGCCAACTAATTCACCTAGACGGAAAATTAATTAGTCAGGCCACCGCCTAGCGCCTAGGCAGGGACTAGTCGGACGCCTAGAACGATTTTTAGAACAAAGATATTTGACAACATTTAATACTCTTGTGCTACAAAATTAAAGAAAACACATTTGGAAAACAAATGTAGAGATTTAGAATAGAAAAGAAAAAGAATAAATATTGGGTTCGACAATCAAAAACACATTTGCATTGCCGCTTGACTTCTATACTTATTTACGAAAAACTCATGTCTTCAACATTGAATAGTCACTAAAGTATATAAATAATAGCATTGGAAACAGTCTACATAAAAAACACCAATCAATGATCACACAATTACTCAAGACGTAAGGAGACAAATGTGTATATATTTTGTTTCTAGAGCACTAGTTTTCAAGTCCATGCGATGCACAGACAGTGCATAATTTAGCTAGTTGTAAATTTGATATTTTCGGAATCATATATAATTTAATGTGATGCAAAAGAAAAATAAACCCGATCTAATATAAAGCCATTTGATAATACTAAAATTGGCCGACTCTACTCTAATGAATTAAATCTAACTGATTGAGCTAAATTGATGGAATCTCCCAAATTATGAAAACGTAAAATAAAATATGCTACATATTACGTATACGTATATACATAAAGGTATTCATATGTATGATATGAATTTTCATTTCCATCCTCATAAAGGTAAGATTCTTGATCATAAGTTTTAAATGCTTTCATATATGAACGTCTAATAGTAAATATCACTTTCATTTTTAAGTTAAAAAATCTTGTGGTTATAATTTCCATCATTATCTCAACAACTAAGAAAGAATGGTATGAAGATGCTGAAAAATACGAAGTATATATATATATTAACACAATTGCAAATCTAAGGCTTATAGTTTTAGTCATTATTGCATTGAGTTTAGAAAACTTAAAAAAAATTGAGTTTAGAAAACTTAAAAAAAATTGAGTTTAGAAAAATAAAATATTACATTTTAGGAAATAGAAAACTATTATTACTTTTTTTATAAAGTAACTTTGAAGAACAAAATTAATAGGAATTTGGACGATTTATCTGTTTGGTGGGAAAAACACGGACAATTCACTTCTTAATAGAATGTAATAAAAATAATTAAATAGGAGTAAAATAAATTCTATGTGTACGGATGGGTATTTATTGTTGTGGTTGCAATTGCTTATTTTAATAACTATCCATATTAATACGGAGTAAGTAATAGATTTTGAAAAAGTTACCAAATAAGGTGGATTCTATCCTACGATCTTTTGTTTCCATATCAATATGCAATAAAAAATAGAATGTAATAAAAAAATTAAAAGGTATAAAATGTAATTAAATAATTGTTATATATGATGACATGATAGGATTATGTGGCACGCCGTATGCTGTTAAAAAGTTCCTCTTATATGTATGTGTGTGTGTGTGTCTATATATATATATATATATATATATACATATATATATATATATATATATATATATATATATACATATATATATATATATATATATATATATATATATATATACATATATATATATATTGATTAGCAACTTGGTTCTAGACTTAATTTAAGAACAAAAACCCTTGAAGAAGATTTATGTCGACAAAGAAGAGTAATAATACATGCGAGAAAGGAAAACAAAATATCTTTGCTTACTGATATGTGTCATCTAGCTAGATACAATTATGATTTCAAGTGCAATACTGATATATGCTGAAAAATGTCATGTTCAAGTTCAATTATTAACTCAAGGGCAATACTGGTATAAGGGGTATTGCCCTATAGAGAAACATACATTTGGACAGAAGAATATGTTGTGTGAAGCATACATTTGCCAGGAATTGAGACTATGTATAGCTCTATGGTACAGAAGAATATTTGGACAGAAGAATCAATGATCACACATCCACTCAAGACCTAAAGAGACAAATGAGTGTACATATAGTTTCTACTTTCTAGAGCATTGAACACAGCTTACATAAAAAATATCAATCAATGAGCACACATCTACTCAAGACTTATGCAACCCATGCAAATACAATATAAAGAGTTATATTGGTTGTTGATTTTGAATATCATCATATAACTCTTTATATTGAAGATGGTACCTTCAATAAAGATTATTGTTTTTGCTTATTTCATTTCACTTTTCCAGTAGATTTCCATCCTTCTGTAGTTTTACAGGAGGGACTTATAAACCCGCACGAGTAGCTCAACTGGTGAAGCGGTGGGAAAGTTGGACAAATGACCAAGGGTCGAAACCCGCAGCGACCGTGTGGAGGTCACAGCTCCTATGTGCTGGGCTGGGCCTCTGGTCCACACGGTATATGGTCTACCACCGTTAGGATTGATTGAGTTACCGTGACAACCTCTCATGTGCTCTGTCGGGTCGTGGCGTGGGGGGCCCTTGGGGGTTGGGGATAGAGCTGTCAAACGGGCCAACCCGCCCCGACCCGCCCCGACCCGCGGCGGGTTATGAGTTTCACGGGTCGGGGCGGGCCAACCCGCTTACTATCGGGCCAGAATTTTTATGACCCTAACCCGACCCACCTAACCCACGGGTTATGCGGGCCAGCCCGCGGGCCATAAATGTCAAAACAAAAAAACAATTAAATATCTAAATTAAAATCCAAACACAATTGAAATAGCAATTAAATATCTAAATTAAAATCCAAACACAATTAAAAAGGAAAAAAATAGTGCTTGAAAATCCTTTGGTTGTATGTTTGAATGTATCATCGTGGGTATACTTAAGCTGAAATACCGCAAATACCTAATTTCTCATTTATTTAGTCTGATTTGGATATCATGAATAAAACAGCATAGAAGTCTTTATGTTATAAAACAGTATAACAACGAATACATTAAAAATAAATTATTTAGTCTGATTTGGATATCATGAACAAAATACATTAGTATTAAAAGTGAGGAAAGAACTAGAAGTAAAGAGAGTATAATAGAAGATATAGTTGTCCTATATAGAAGGGAAAATAACTTTAAATAATACCAATTATCTTCCATGAACCAAGAATAATACCAACTTGAGAAATAATTTTTAATAATACCAACTATTTGATTATCTATCAAAAGTGATATATAGCAAATTTTCACCAAAAATTTATTTATTCAATTCATCAAAAACTTATATCAAAATATCAAATAAGTGATCATATTTTCAAATATCAATTATTTGATGATTTGATCTTAGTTTTTGACATCTTAAATGATTGAATTTCTTGTAGAAAAGTGTCTCTATTTTATTTTTGGTTAACATTCAGATAGTTGGTATAAATAAAAGTTATTTCTAAAGTACGTATTATTATTGGTTCATCAAAGATAGTTGGTATTATTTAAAATTATTTTCTCATAATAGAATTAAAAATACATAGAATAAATGATATTTGTCCTCAGCCCGCGGGTTGGCCCGCAACCCGTACGGGTTGGCCCGCTTAACCCGCAACCCGTTAGGGTTGACCCACTGAGCCCGCAAAACAATCGGGCCTGAAAATAATAGCCCTAACCCACTTATAAGTGGGTTGAAACGGGCCAACCCGCGGGTTTCGGCCCGTTTTGACGGCTCTAGTTGGGGATTCAACCTTTTGGACAAACAGGAGGGACTTATAGCGTTGTTAGTCATTGAAACCTGCACTTTATTAAATTGAAATTCGTCCATAATCGCCATCAAATCAAAACCTGCACAAAAATTTCTGGTTATAAACACAAAAATAATTTCTGCTTAAATGACTCCATCGAAATGAAAAAGCTATATCTCAAGAGTGTATAAAAACAAGCTCAAAGAACAAAGCAAAGATGCAAATAAGAATCGCGAAAGCCTAAAGAGATTTTAGAAGCCAACCTTGAAGACTTGAGCCGATATCAGCCGCCAAATATTTTCGCCGATATCAGCCGCCAAATATTTTCGCCGATATCAGCCGTCAAATATTTTCAGTTTAATTGAAGACGGTTGCTTTCATTGTTAAACAAAATAAAAAAATAAAAAAAAAATCAAATATAAGAAAGCTGTCACAACTGGAACGGATATTGAATTCAATCAACATATCTGAAAAACTCAATAACAATTAGCATTAAACAATACTCCATAATAATAAGATGGTTGCTTTACGCTTGACTCCTTTTTAAGTTTTTACTAATTTTTGACCTGTTTTTAGGGGTGAGAAAATGACTTACTTTTTCTCTTCCTTTTGTATATACTAAAATTAATTGAGTACTTATCAAAGTGACACCACTGAGGAATGCCCCAGTGTTACAGTAGTGTCACCAAAGCGTGTACTTCTTATACTTTTTTGAAGATACAAGCATCTACTTTTTATGTTTTTATTTAGTCCTTATTAAATCCTTACTAAATATAGATAGTTAGATACAAACATAAATAAACTTATAAACATGTGTGATGCACTGCTTTCTTTATTTCATACGTAGTATAGTCGAATCAATGCCAATGCAAACACTAACAAATCACATTCTTGTACATACATGACACAACAAAGAATTTCCGATTTTAAAGAAGCAAAATTCAATGTCAAACACGCTAGAAGGGAATTTTCTTATCAAGGGGGACAAGCAGTTACACTTGGATAATCTGTCCAACATTCAAGAGACTCTCATGAGGCAAATTGAATATTGCACTGTTTTCCCTGCATATTTTCCTAAGAAAGGCATATACATAGTCAATGGCAATTTTCTTATAGAACCTAGAATCTCTCCCAGCTCTCACCATTGTGTTCCCAAGTATGTGTACCACCCCGGCATCTCTAGCCGCAGTCAAGAACTCCAGCTCATTGACGATCTCTGTCTGGCTGCTTATTGACTCTACTGCCACTATGGAGTTCACTGAGGATACTGTGGGGTCCGTGCTCGAATACGCATCCAACAAGGCATTTTGTCCACACTCATCAGAGTCCGAGCAGCCTTCCATCAATGACTCAAGGCGCACAAACATGAAAAGGTTGTCAAACAATTTCTTCTCGAAGTCGTCGTCCTTCTTGTGGAGATCTTTGTAACCGAACCTTGCGACACATCGGAACATGTGGAAGTTCTTTGGCCCTATACGTTTCACGAGGAACCTCTCTTCTTCATGAACCGTATAGACCGGTAGATACTTCACACACACAAACACCACCACTGAGTGTGTGGCGGGAAGGTTTGTGATCAAGTGTGAGAAGATGTGTGGGACCCCACTTGCCAACTCTGTGTAAACCAGACCTATACCGGGAACTCGTACCAGACCTAAACTGGGGCCCAACCCGAGAATCCACGCCATCGACACCTTGCTGTGCATCTCGAACTCATACCTCTTCACCGTCCCGTAATGCCAAACATACATGATCACGAGAAACGCTGCAGCAGTCACAAGCGGGACCCATCCTCCCTGATCGACCTTGAAAAGGACCGCCGAGAAGTAAGTGCATTCCACCATGAGCGATAGTACGGTGAAGATGACAACGATGATCCAATGACAGTGCCAAACTAGCAACATTATCAGGACCATGAGAAGCGTGGTGACCAGCATGACTATAACCACCGCTGTGCCTGTTGTGGTGGAAGAGCATTGGTTATATAGGAATTAGTTTTTATCCGCCTCAATTTCATTGTGGCAAAACTAAAGTAATATCCCAAGAACAAGATAATCTGAATTGTAATTGAAATTTATTTCATTAATGTAATCCTCATATTTCATTCATTTATGGGCTAACTAACTACTAACTCACCGTAAGCGTTGCCGATTTGACTCTGGTTTCTGAATCCAGCTGTGACAGCTATGCAAAGAAGCATTAAGATCCAATTGATATCTGGGATGTACACCTGTCCGAGGAACTTCTTAGATGTATGTACAACCTTAACTCTTGGAAAACAGCCTAGTGCTAACGCCTGCTTGATGATTGAAAATGTAGCAGATATAACGGCTTGACTTGCAACAATGGCAGCAAGAGTGGCCACAATAAAGACCGGCCAATATATCCTGTCTGCAGAAAAGAAGAAGGTGAGTGTCTCTTTGAGCCTGTGTTGTACTTTTCTTTTTTGTATGATAAAAGTTGAAATTATTTTTTCAGATTATGTGGATTATGACTTCGTTAGGTGATACTGACTCAGTTAAGAATCTTTTCAGATTTCAATATTACAAACCTGGAATAGAACGATAGAATGCATAGATGACATGCTCTTTATTTTGTGTGAGGTAGGCGGCTTGGCCACAGTAGGCCAAAAGAAGGCAAGGAAAAACAATAATGGTAAATGCAAGCTGGACTGCAGCTAGAGGAAAATGAGAAAGATCAGCAAAAAGTGCCTCCGTTCCTGCCAACATTGTGTGGTCAAGCAAGGAACTATTAGGCCAAGATGCTTTAAATTTATTAAAGATCAAACAGAATAAAAAAGGTAATATAAGTAATTAAACCTGTAATGCTTAACATTATTCCTCCAAGTGATATCCATCCATCTTTCCCTCTCCTCCTAAAATACCGATATATGTATACAGGAGAAAAGGCCTTCAGAACTGAGATATCGTATTTCCAGATGTTGTAAATGCCTATACCCCCTATTAGTAGAAACCAGAGAAGTACTATTGGGGCAAAGAGCCACCCAACCTTGTCAGTACCATAGTGTTGCATGCTAAACAACCCAACTAGTATAAATACTGCTACAAGCACAACTACATCTGTGGATATGACCGATTACAAAAACAAGATTATGTAAGTAACTTGCAATAATAAGCTGATAATAGACAAGTAAAGAAACAATTTTTTTTTAAAGAAAGTAAAGAAACAATGTATAGCTTCTGAAATCTCTTGAACTGAGGGTAGTACCACTACTCAATGCTGGACGGACCACCTTGATCCCACCTGAAGCCGAAAGTACTGTTGAAAGCATCTCAAATCAGTAATAAGTGTTATAATCCCACAACAGACAAGTAAAAAAAGTCACAGGTCAGTAAGACTTTGGGTCGAACTAACTAATAAATTGGATTTGACTTATGGGTATGAGTATTGAGTGACTAATTAAACCCTGAATATTATGGTATCTAAACAGGCCCGGGACATTTGAGGCCCAAGTACTTAGCTCCGACTAGACGAACACTACCTAGCGGCCCCGAATAAAGCATAAAGTAACACCAATCCATTTATGAATTCTAATAGAAACCATTGCAATATAAATACCTGATATAGCTGGAGTAAGGATGCCATCCCCAATTACCATGCAAGTTCCCACAAGGACAAGAATAAGAAGTGCATTCTTTCTGAATGCATATGCCTCCAGCCATCTCTTTGTTTTTGCAGCAGATGAATGTTCATGAAATGTGCTACGGCTATACGTGGTTAGCTCTTCATCTGTCCGGTGTTGGTTCGGGATTGTTTTTACCTTTGCATGTCGACAGAGTAATGAGTACAGAGCAAAGGTTCCACCTAAACAGTAAATAAAACAACACATAAGCTTCACTGGTAAGTAACTGTAAGGACTCATTACAACTTATGTAGTTGAGGATTGGACAGTAGTCGTTCAATTGGGCCACAATGCACCTAACCAAACCAAACCAAACTAAATGACTGAATCCAATCGATTAGTTAGTCTAAATTAAGGATATCTATAGCAATAAATTTGTCTTTAACCTCTCAAGATAGTACAGAGATAGCGGACTCAACTTAGTCACAAGGCATTTGAGTCAAACCGTATTAAATTATTCAATGAAGGTCTATTAGCTCGTTCAAATCAACCTCCTATTAACCCATCATTTTTTCTTTACTTATTCAGTGTGAGATTATAACAGACACTCTTACATTTCTCCCGAGATGTTGGATTTGTGGCATCATATTAAGAAGTCTGATTTCATCATACAATGTCAACATCCTTATAGGACAGAATAATCCAGTCTTGTATATTGGTTTGTTATTTTGTAAATTTCTACATGTGAGCTGGTTTAATCACAACACGATAACCACTTAGTGAATGCAGGAACCCTAGGAGCAGCTTACCTTGGCCATTGTCACTTGCTCTGCACACGATGAAAACATATTTGAGAAGTGGTATAAGAGTGAGTGAGTATATGATCAATGAAAGTGCCCCAATAATATCCTCAGTGTCTTCAACTCCATGGGGAAATGTGTTGTAGAAAACATATAAGGGGGATGTCCCCAAGTCCCCATACACTACTCCCAAGCTCTGAAATGCCAGTCTTAATAGCAAAATCAATGAGAATTTCTGCCAATAAAAATGAAGAAAATCAGCATAGAAATAACAAGTGCCGTCAAGTTGCTCAAAAGAACTACTGAATGGTACCATAACTGTTTGTCTGTTTGGTGTTAACCTGTCAGGGCGTCAGGCCAAAGTCAAAGTAGACAGATAAAGTAATTTTCTGTCAACATTTACTAGTATTAGATTTGATCTAGTGGAATGAATTGCCTTAAAAATATAAGCTTTAAAGTTTAAACCTACCCAAGAAACATAAAGTTATTTCTGACTAATTCTGTACTTACTTGGCCAGCCTAACCACAGATAAATAAAATACATCAAGAAACAAAAAAAACTGACCTAAGCATTCAATTTAATATGCACTTCCCACTAATAACCTACGGAGTATGATATACAGTACTCTGTTGCATACTACTTGCAAATAACAGAACTGACTGAAAGTAGTGCACTTTTTTCCTGCAGGACTACTAGTTCGTTTTTACTTGGGGCTACTGACTCATTTTTCACACTTTTTGTCCACAACTACGAGTTTCTTTCAATTTTTTTCCTTTGATCACTTCTCTGTGGAAGATTAGCCGAAAGTTTGAAGCAAAAGTGGATAGATTAATAATTTAGTATTAGGGAAGCTGAAAGTGTAAGGAAAGTCATAGCTTCAACCTAAAAAAGTCAAGTATAAAAAGTGAAAATGAGTGTTGGATAAAGATGAAATAAACTATTGGATTAATGGTTTAACCTTTTCAGCGTGCCTGAATTTCAGCTTCCCAGCCTCCTCATCCATGGGTTGATCAAGCTTTTGCTCCAAAGCCCACATCTCTCCTTTAGTTTCACTGGATTCTCCATCCATCTCCATCCTTCTTAGAAAAGCTGATTCCTTTGCTCTGGTGTACAAATCTTTAACTAGACAGAGAAGCAAAATTTATTTTGAATTTATTATACAAGCAGCTATTACATGCTCCGTATAATTATATCAATAAAATTGGATGAAAGGAAAGTTTGTCCTTATATGAATAATTACTCAGCAAATTCAAGAGAACATATGATTTTTTTTTCATGGCCGAGCAATAGACAAAAGACTCTCCCTCAAGTGGGGTCCAGCTGGGAAATCCATCTAATCACGCAACACAACAGCAAAGCAAATTCGGAATAGAATTATGAACAAATTAAGTATTCCGGCTTCTGGGTTTATTATAAAAATATGAAAATTTCTACTCAGCTACTAAAGTTTTCATCTTGAGCTCACCCCAGATTTCAAAATCCCATTTTGTTGCAAAGAAGGAGATGAGAGTGAAGAATAACAGACTTGGAAATGATGATGATGATGATGATGATCCGCTTTGTGGTGGAAGCACTTCACATGGGAACGTCGGAGGGAGGTCGTTGTCAGTTGTTCGAATCTTCGCGCTGTGTTTTTTTCATTAATGTGCCCACGTTTGTAACGCTGCAAACTTGAGAGTACGGAGTATTTGTGTTGGTCTCGTTGACTTTTTTCTTGTAAATAAAAGGGAAAGTTCCCGAAATAGAACTAAAATAGTTTGATA